ATGAAACAAGTTATATGAATTGTTGAATATGAAACTGATGATGTGCCCTCTAAACTTTCACTCAATCCACAATAAAAACCTTAAATTAAAAATAATAATAATAAAATAATAATGACAGCATTTATCTTCCCCGGGAGTGGGAACCGTTCATGTGCTCTTGTTAACTGAAAGGTTGGCACTTCGAGTCTATCCTCAGAAAAAAGGCCGATGGTCTACTTCCAAAAAAATCAGTCACTGACAACACTATGGAGCCCAGTACTCTGAGACACACGGAGTGGAGCCATGGGTCAGGGCCAACTTGTGGACAGCTGGTCTCTTTCCCTGTATGTCTAATCTGAGACTTCTGTTACCGTTTCAGTATGTTTTCCTACATACTTGTAGTTCTTTGTGTGTTTGATGAGAAATGCTTCAAGTTGGTCTTCAGCTCCTATGACACAGTAAGACTGCTGCATTGGATTTCCTAGGCTACAAGTCAGGCTGCTAACCTCAAGGTCAGCAGTTCGAAACTACCAGCTGTTTCATGGGAGAAAGAGGAGGCTTTCTGCTCCCATAAAGATTTACAGCCTCAGAAACCCTTTTCAGGGTCATTATGATTCGAAACTGACTCCACAGCACACCACCACCAGCAATCTTTTTGTTGTTAAAGGGACTGTCTTTTCTTTGTCAAAGATCAAAGATGGATTTACTTTTGGGTTCTCACTTCTGTTCCATTGATCTGTATGTTTTCCTGCTCCAGTACCAGTTTGTTTTGACCACTGTGACTCTGTAGTAGATTCTGAGATTGGCCAGTGAGAGGTCCCCTATTTTGTTCTTCGTCTTAAAATCATGCTTTGCTTATCCAGCATCTGTTTCCTTTCTATATAAAGTTGCTGATTAATTTTTCAGCTCTTCTCTGAATGTTTATTAGGTCCGGACTTCTTTTGTTGTGAGTTTTTTAGTGACCTGAGCATATTTCTAGATATTTGTGTATTTCTTTTAAGTTTTCAGATTTGTTGGAGTATAGTGTTTCATAATATTTTGTTATTATTTCTTATTTCCTTTGATTCTTTTGTCACATCACTGATTGCATTTCTTTTTTGTGTTATTTGCATCTTCTTTTCCTTGGTTAGATTTGCCAGTGGTTTGTCAATTTTATTAATTCTTTCAAAGAACCAAGTTCTTGATGATTCTATTGTTTTCCAGTTTTCTGTTTAATTTCTTTCTGATGTAGTTTTTTTTTAATTTTGGTTTCTTCTGATGGCTATAGGCGTACTTGGCTACTATTTTTTAATTGTTAGAGATGTTGGGTTACGGTTGATTTGGGTTCTTTCTTGTTTTTGTATATGTGTGTTTATTGCTACAAATTGTCCTCTGAGCACTCTTTTGATGTGTCCCTAAGGTTTTCGCATGCTGTGTTTTCATTTGATTCTTTTTTTTTTTCCCCATTTTTTATTTCTTCTATTACCAGGAGTCCTGGTGTGGCATTGTGGGATAAAGCACTGGACCACAAGGTTGGTCTAAACCACAAGGTCAGCAGTTCAAACTCACTGGTCACTCCTTGGAAACCCTATACGGGTTTCCTGTGAGTCAGAACTGACCTGACGGCACTAAACAACGACAAGAACATTACCTAGTAGTTTTTCAGCAGGATGTGATTCCGTTTCCATGTATTTGATTATTGCTTCCTTGGTCTTTCTATTGTTGATTTCTAACTTTATAGCATTGTGATCTAAGATGCTTTGTAGCATTTTAATGTTTTTACATTTATTCAGGCTGCCCTCTTTATGGAAGCAGATTGCATCTCTTTCTCCCATGGTGCTGCTGGATAGGTTCAAACTGCTGACATTTCAGTTAGAGATCCAACACTTAATTAACTGTTGTACTACCAGGGTTCCTAGCTCTCTCTTTTAATGTATCGAAATCCTGTTCATAAAGTTCTATCTTCTTTTTCACTTGAAATTTTCAGGTATTTTCCAATGTCATTGCAATTATTTTTATAGAGATGACTTTCAAAAACACACAGTGAATGCTTTCTCATTTTAAAATAATTTCAAGCAAGATAATGGTATATAGAACACAAATGAAAGTTCTCTCCTTAATGCCACCTCTCCTCCCATACTCCCCACCCTCAGTTCTCACTTCCCTTCCCATATGTAACCACTGTCAGCGGTTTGGTTAAACACATAATTTTTAAATGAGTACATAATTTTCCCACCTGATGGAAAAAAAATCATACTAAAACCGTTCCCTTATTTTGGGGCATTTAGGTTGTTTCCTGGTTCAGCCGTTTCTTTTTAAACATATGTGGCAAAGCATTCCATTTGGAGGAACGTAAAACAGACCATAAGTTCATGGTCCTGTGTTCTTCTGGTCATTGCAAAGTCAAGGGCAGGCACCCAATTAGACATTGAAGTGAAGAAAACATTCAAGTAGGAGAAAGGGACCTTGCATTTGTTGGATGCCCATTATGTGTTGTACCTCTCTGCTGTCATTGAATGCACAGATGTCTCTAGAAGCAGGAGAGCTGTGGTTCCGAGGGGCCAAATGCCATACTCAGTATCAGACATCCCTCCATGCAGACCTTGGCTTCAAGTCACCAAACACCAGTCCAGGGGCCTGGTGATTCTCCAGCTGAACTGGAGAACCTTGTTATCCCATCCTCACTTAATGCTAGAAATGCCACGGCTTCTTGTGAATCTAGCTGCAGTGTGCGCACCTAATACGCGATAAACACCACACTGTTGTTCTAGGTGCCACTGTGTCGGTTCCAACTCATAGTGACTCTGTGCGCAACAGAATGAGGCACTCTAGTCCTGCTCCATCCCTGCATTTGATGTTATGTTTGAGCGCATTGTTGCTGCCCCTTTGTCAGATCATCTTGTTGGGGGTCTTCCTCTTTTGCCCTGGCCCTCCACTTTACCAAGTATGACTTCCTTCTCCAGGGACAGGTCCTCCCTGATGATACATCCAGACCACTAGAGACAAAAGTCTCGCCATTCTTGCTTCTACAGAGTATTCTGGTTGTACGTCTTCCAAGACAGATTTCATTGTCCTTCTGGCAATCCATGGTACTTTCAATATTCTTCTCCAACACCATAATTCAAATACACCGATTCTTCTACAGTCTTCTTTATTCATTGTTCAACTTTAACATGCGTATGACCTTTTGAAAATACCATGGCTTGGGTCAGGTGCACGTGAATTCTCAAACTGACAACTTTGCTCTTTCAAACTTTCAAGAAGCCTCTTGCAGCCGATTTACCTAATGAAATCATGTCATTTGGTTTCTTGACTGCTGATTCCATGAGCATTGATTGAAGTCTTTGACAGCATCAATCTCTTTTTTCCATTTAGCACGATGGTATTTATTGTCCAGTTGTGGAGATTTTTGTTTTCTTTACATTGAGGTGCAATCCATACTGAAGGCTTGATTTTTTTTTTTTAATGTTTTATTGTGAATTTTACATGGGAGAACTTTAGTTTTACATTCATTCCATCTTATATCTGAAGGCTTTCAAGTCCTCTTCACTTTCAGTAAGCAAGAATTTCAAGTCCTCTTCACTTTCAGTAAGCAAGAATTTCAAGTCCTCTTCACTTTCAGTAAGCAAGGTTGTATCCCCTGAGTGTTGTTGTTACTGAATTCCCCCAATCCTAATGCTACATTCCTCTTCATGTAATCCAGCTTCTCGGATTATTTACTCAACATACAGATTGAATAAGTGTGGTGAACAGATACAATGCATTTCCTATTGTATCAGTTAATGGAATGTTTTAGAGGGGTGGGCATCATTCCTGTTTTACATATGAGGCCCAGAGAAGTAAAGAAACGGGTCAGTGTAACTGGCTGAGCAGGGACAGGGACCCAGGTGTGTGTGACTCTAAGCTAGGCTCTGACCACTGGGCTCTGCTGCCCGCCATAACTAGAGTCTGTCAGACACCAGGGCAGGTGAGGCAATCCCTACCACGTCTCATTCTGTGCTCTGTCTCCCTCTCCCTAGATAACAGCGACCTGATCGCGTGCACAGTCATCACCAAGGACGGCACCATGGTCCAGCGGTTCCTGGCTGTGGATATTTACCAGATGAGTTTGGTGGAGCCCGACGTGTCCCGGCTTGGCTGGGGAGTGGTCAAGTTTGCAGGTCTTCTGCAGGTGAGATGGCACACAATTCCAGAAGCGGCTCTTAATCGGCTGTGCCCATACACATCCACACACACTGATCATTTCGACACTTGATTTTATTGGCACGGGAAATGCATGAGTGCATGAAGTTTGAGAACGCTGAAAGCAGCAGGTAGAGACACACAGAGCTCTAAGTCCTCTTTGACCCCAAAATCCTCCCGCTGCTTCCCTTCCCTTCTCCCCCAAAAGATGACTTGTTGTTGTTAAGTTCTGTTAAGTTGGTTCCAACTCATAGCTACCCTGTGTAAGCTTTCCAAGGAGCAGTTGGTGGGTATGAACCGCCAGCCTTGCAGTTAGCAGTCCAGTGTTTGTTCTATACCATCATATCAGGCTTAGGTTCCAGATTTTTCCCTCTGCCAAATGCATATGTAGGAGTCCTGGTGTGGCACTGTGTGATAAAACACTGGAGCACAAGGTCAGTTTGAACCACAGGTCTTCAGTTCAAACTCCTTGGAAACTCTATGAGTCAGAACCAACTCGATGGTACTTAACAACAACAACAAATGCATATGTAAACACAAATGCATTAACCAGTTGTTTTTGTAATGGTACGTACAAAGACCGACAGAACCCAGCAGCCACTCCACACTCCGTGGGAGAAAGATGTGGCAGTTCGCTTCCTAAATGAAATCCAGAGGGCAGGTCTGCTGTTTCCTATTGGGCTCCTGAACAGGGGACCACAAGGTCGATAGTTCAAACCCACCAGCTGCCCCTCTGAAACCATACCCAGGGTTGCTATGAGTTGGAACTGACTCGACAGCACTTAACCACCTCTGTGTCCTCTAGGGTCACTCTGAGTCAGCATCGGCTGGCAAAGGGGTCGTTGGGAAGTTTTATGCATATGCTTGAGTGTGTGCATGATTTCCATTGAGCATACTCTAAGCTTTGCTGTTTTTGTACTCAACAGTGTGTCTTGGAGAGCTAAGTATTAGTATCTATAGACACTGATGCTCTTCCATCTGCTGCTTGGCTGCATCAGAGCCTACATAGCCAGCAACCCTATTGGTTGTTTCCAGTGCTTTAAGCTTTACAAGTGGTGCCGCCTTAACCAGAACTATTGCAATCCTTCTCAAATTGTGCAAGGTTTCTCTAGGGAAGATCCCAGGACATCGGGGTGTGCCCCTTCTAAGTGTTAATAGACACTGCCAAATTCCTCTCTCAGACTCTGGTCACCATTGATAATTGCAGCATGTTTCCTCTCCCTCACCCTCTTCTCAAGCAAGCTAGGCTCTGACATGACACTCTTCCAGGTGAAGAGTGTGGGGCATTTGAATGTCCGCTGCTATGATGAGTGGCCAGTGCTAGCTCACAGATGAAGCACTGCCGTGCAGTGTGGAACCAGCCCCTCAGGCTCTGAAACCCCAGCAGATGCTTGTATCCGGAGCCCTGCCCTATCTGGAGGCAAGCCATGTTCTCATTGGGCAATTCTAGTCCCTGGGAACCAACCGCCTCCTGGCAGTATGACTTGAAGTGTCCGCCCTCTCTGTGAGAACAGCCTACATCTCTGAGGATGTTCTTGCCTTGCTGGCTCCGTGGTTAAGTGCTTAGATGCTAACCCCAGGGTTGGTGGTTCAAGCCTACCTGGAGGCGCCACTGGAGAAAGACCTGATCATTGTTCTGCTACAAATTTCTGCCTAGCAATCCCTCTGGGGCAGTTCTGCATTGTCACATGTGGTGACTGTGAGTCAGAATCAGTTCCACGGCACCACCACCTCCTCTTTCCCAGGATCTTCCTTTCCATTTAAAAAAAAAAGCCTTTTCCAGAAGGAGACTTATACAACTGTATGACAAATCATCTTTAAAAAAAGACTTCCATGTAAGGCGCTGTCCATTAGGTGACTTAGTGCTTCGTATTTATCCCGGCTTACGATCAATTTCCTTTAGAATCCAGTGACAGTAAAGATCAATTTCCTTTAGAATCCAGTGACAGTAAAGTGTTTTTCTCCTCTGAAGGATTAATACCTGTCCTCCATCAGACAATGAAAGCCACATAACCCCTTTTTTTTTGGTCACCTGCCAATAGCTCCTATTTATCAGGTTGTTACTACGTGCCAAGCTGTCTGATTTAAATGCTGTAACATTGCACCTGATTCTCACACAGCTCCTCCGTGAAGGTGTTATTTCCAAAGACGTGACCCTCTCCCTACACAAGTCTCTTTGAGCCTTGTTCCCACCACTGGCTTTGATGGCCACCTCCCCTAGCGCATGCTGTTACCTCCAATCCCCTGGCACCTGAGGAGCCCAGAGTCCTGACATCATCCAGTCTTTGTTTTTACTTGCTCCACATTGACTTTTTTTTTTTTAATTTAAGGCATTTATTGTGGATTGAGTGAAAGTTTACAGGGTACATCATCAGTTTCA